CACAACCGCTCCTGAAGGGGGGGCGAGAGGAAAAAAATGAGATTCAAACCGGATTGGCCGGCTCCTGCCCACGTGACGGACGCGTCCGTTTGGCCCTGGCGGCGCCTGCGCAAGACTGCAGCTGCGTGGGGACCGAGAGGCTTCTGGGAAGTGGAGTCTCTCTCTCTCTCTCTCCCCCTCTCTCTCTCTCCCTCTTTTTTTTTTTTTTTTTTTTTCTTAAGGCGAAGAAGTTTTTTTTTTTTTTTTCTCTTTAAAAAAAAAAAAAGAAAACTGATCACGTGGTCGCTGGCGAGGGTGCGCGGCTCCCGGCGCCGCGGTGCTGGCGGCAGAGTAGGTTTCAGGCCTCTGCGGTGCGGCGTGCAGGGCTGCGGTCGCAGTCACTGCGGGGCATTCCTGCTGTGCCCTTTGTCGCCCGGTCCTCCCATCTCTCCTGCAAGGTTGGGAACTGCGGGCTCAGCACACGCGGGAAGGCTGCATGGGCTTGGCTAGCTGAGGTGCTAGGACAAGTTGCTTGTGTGTGTTTTTACTTAGTTTTCCGTTCGCCTCCCACCATTTTCTCCTGGTCTCCGAAAGAGGCGGCGATGGAGAGTCGTTGACGCGGCCTGCGTTCTCCCCGTCCCCGAGAGCCACTACCGCGGGTGGTCGCTGGTTTCCATCGCCGCGGCCCCAGCGGGTGGGCGGGCTAGCCCACGGTACCCACTCGCTCGCTCGCTCGCTCGCTCGCCCGCCCGGGGCAGGAGGGGGGGCGGCGCTGACTGCACGCGTCGGCTTTTCCCGTTCCCAGGCCTGAGGTGAATGCGTCAGGGTTGGATCTTGCTGGACGTCAAAAGTTGGCAAGTTCTGTCCAATCGGTTCCAGTATTCTGCTTGGACGTGAACGGAAATAGCCTACGTCCAGGTGCCAGCCAGGGAAGCCACTCGGGGCTCCGCTGACTCAGCCCTGGACTGAAGGTCAGGAGTCGTTAAGCCGGGTCAACTATGACTCTTGACGTTGACTCATGCTCCTCGGGCGAGTGACTTAATCGCTCGGTGCCTCAGCTTTTTCATTTGTGAACCAGAGATGATAATACACTTACCTCACAAGGGTGTGCTGTGGGGAAGGACTGTAACCAGCTTTGGAAACGCTTCGGAACCCAGATGCCAGCAGCAAGCGCGCGTGCCTGCCCGAGGACCAGCTGCCTCCGCCTCCGCCTCCGCCGCGGCTTCAACAGGGCCTCCCCGTAGCCCAGGCTAGCCTCGAGCTTGCGGAGTAGGGGAGGGTGGCCTTGAACTGTAGGTCTTCCTGCTCCACCTTCCCCCAGAGCACTGGGAGTGCTGGCGCGCGCCGGGGTGGGGGTGGGGACATGCAGCCCTAGGGATGGAACCCTAGGCGCTCTACCAGCTGAGCTACATCTCCAACCCTTAACAGTGTTTTACATTTTTTTTTTACCCCTCGTCTTCGACTTTGTTACATTGCCACGGACATCCTCGCAGTTTTGAAGTTTCAACATTTTTTTTTTCTTTTTCTTTACGGATGTAGCTGCTCTCAACGGAAGCTTTATATTCAGGAAAATACGTTCCTAACAACTCTCCTCAAACAGAAGTTTGTCCCCACGCTGGCAGGCTGTTTTCTGCTACGTTACTGGGCTATCGTTTCTCAAGACAGTGTTGAGTAAAGGTTCTAACGAGGAAGACAGGATCTCCTGTTGCTGTTTCCACGCTGCTTAAGAACGCTAGCACCAGGAAAAGCAGCACAGGCAAGCTATCTGTGCCGGCCTCCCAATGGTGTTGCTGTTGTCCGGAGCTGTGTCATAGCTATTATTGAGTACATAATGGATGCTTGGGTTGACTAACACATAATTGAGGCTGTATAAGAACTCAAAGCCAATTGCCTGTTCATGTTTTTTGTTTTGTTTTGTTTTTAACCAGGATGGCAGAAGTGATTTAAACGCCAACTTTTTTGTCAGCACCAGTAGATTCTAAAGTAGATACAATTCTGCAAACTAAACAGGTGAATTTCTCCACACAAATCTGTTACACTAACCAAAGTTTATTTTCTGTTGTTGGTAAAATGGTTTATGGTTCACTTTGGTGAAAAGACCCCATAGGGTTCCGGCAGTATAGCTCTTAGAGTGCTCACCCAGCTGTCAGAAAGTCCTGTTTTTAGATCCCCAACACCACATGGACCCAACATTCTCGGGGATCAGGACTTCAAATTCAGCTTCCTAGCAGGTTCCAGGCCAACCAAGGCAACATGAGAATCTCAACCCAAGGAAAGAAAAGACAAACAGCTTATATATCCTGGTTTTGGTTTTAGGGTTTTTGTTTGTTGGGTTTTTTGTTGTTTTTCGAGATAAGGTCTCTCTGTGTAGCTTTGAAGCCTGTCCTGGAATTCGCTCCGTAGACCAGGCTGGCCTTGAACTAAAAAGGCGTGCGCCACCACACAAATAACAGCAAAAAATCCATTGCTAAGAAAATATCCCAATGAGCCCCATAGCCACTGATAGAAAACTTTTGTTTTAAATAGCTTTTTATTTGTTTTTTTTGTTTTGTTTTGTTTTTGTTTTTCGAAACAGGGTTTCTCTGTGTAGCTTTGGAGTCTATCCTGGCACTCGCTCTGGAGACCAGGCTGGCCTCGAATTCACAGAGATCCGTCTGCCTCTACCTCCCGAGTGCTGGGATTAAAGGCGTGCGCCCGGCTTTATTTGTATCATTTTTTTTCCTTCAACCTTCCTCCTGTTTTGTCAATCAAAACTCATATTTGGGGCTAGAGTATAGCTCAGAGATAGAATGTTTGTCCAGTTGCTTAAGACTCTGGATTCAATTCACAGTACCCCTGTCCTCCCCTTCTCAAAAAAAAAAAAAAATGACTTGTGCCTTTACAGTACTCATGTCTGTCTCATTCTTTATAGTTTCGTTGATCTCCATATTTGTATATGACTTGTTGCATTTAATATTTCAGATGTGTTTGCCTAGTATCAACACTAAGATCCCATCGTGTCAAATATATGGTGACCAGGTTTTATATGTTAGGATTATTTGTATGTAATTGATTTAGTTTTGCTTGTTTGTCAAGTCAGAGTGTTGTTGCTATGTTGTCCAAAGTGGTCTTTAACTCATAGACTCAAAGCATCTTCCCATGTCATCCTCCAAAGAAGCTGGGACTAAAGGCACAGATAGGCAGCTGCGCCCAGCTCTGTGCTAACCTTAAATGGGCACAACAGAATATAGTATGTCTTATCTACTTAAAAAAAAATGTGCTGGGCCCACGCCTTTAATCCTAGCACTCGGGAGGCAGAAGCAGGCAGATTTCTGTGAGTTAGAGGCCAGCCTGGTCTACAAAGCTACACAGAGAAACCCTGTCTCAGAAAAAAAAAAAATGCATTTGTCACCTTGCTACCATATCAACGTTTGTATTAAAGAAAACAAATGTATAATTTTAAATCAGAGTTATGAGTGAGAGGTGATGTTATTGTAATGCTGTTCTATATGATGGGTTGTTTTTACTTAAGCATACTTTAGAACATTCCATAGACATCCATAGTTCCTGATAAGCACTAAGCAGCCATTTTTCTTAAGTAAGCTTTGAGACAGAAGCCATGAAGTTGTGTAATCAAATAAATTACCTCAGTGTTGTAAGCTGAACAGTATCTAGAAAGAATCTAAATCAATGTGTAGCCACATCTTTGCTTCATTCACTCTTCCTCAAGACAGTACTGCCTTTGCTGTAATTTATACTCTAGTTTTCTTATTGTAATTTTCCTTCAGGAAAGATTCAACAACATAGTATCTTCTACATGCAAATTAGCCTTAGAAAGTATTCTGTAGCTAAGAACATCTAGGGTGGGGTCAAGCTCTTGTACCACAACCCCTGTTGCTCACTGTGTTGACCATGGACAGATGTTTTAGTCAGTCTGTCCCTCATTCTTCTCATGAATTAGATGGGGAAATAATAATCTTTTATTTGGTTACAGTGAGGAATACTATTTCATGTAGTGTGTTTGGAATAGTTTTTAGAGCACAACAAACATTCCATTTTACTAATCATTAGAGTAATAAAATATTACATTGATATAAATTTCTTTTTCTTTGTCGTATACTAGACAAGTGCTCCACCACTCAACTATACACTGTCCTCTTTTTTTCTAAGACAAGGTCTCACTAAGTACCCAGGCTGGCCTTGATCTCACAGTGTAGCACAGGCAGAACTTGAATTTTCACTACTCTGTTATCAACCTTCCATGTAGGTGGCATTATAGATCTTTGCCACCAGGCCAGGCTTCTTCCTTTTTTTTTTTTTTTTCTGTTGCTACTGCTGCTGTTTTTAAGACAGAGACTCGCTGTATAGCCCACGAGAAATGGAACTGCCTAGTAATCCTTCATCTGTTTCCTGAGTACTAAGTGAAACTGAGTGTGTGCCACCATACCTGGCAACATAAATTTATTGTTTCTTCTCTTTTAGTAAAATGTAATGTGTTTAAGAATTCCTTTGTCAGGGGCTGGAGAGATGGCTCAGAGGTTAAGAGCACTGCCTGTTCTTCCAGAGGACCTGAGTTCAATTCCCAGCAGCCACATGGTGGCTCACAGACATCTATAATGAGATCTGATGCTTTCTTCTGGTGTGCAAGCATGTGTGCAGATAGAATACTGTATACATAAGTAAATATTAAAAAGAATTCCTTTGTCAGGAACCTGCATAAGACCAAACCAGGCCCCCTGAATGTGGGTGTCATCTGTGGGGCCACTGGCAGTGGCACCGGTATTTGTCCCTAGGGCATGAACTGGCTTTTTGGAGCCCATTCCCTTTGGAGGGATGCCTGCTCAGCCCCGATACAGAGGGGGAGGGCCTCAGTCCTGCCCCAAATGATGTGACAGACTTCAATGGTTCTCTGAGGAGTGGATGAGGGGTGGGATGGGGAAATGGTGGGGGGAGTGCGAGGACCGGAGGGAGAGGGAACTGGGATTGGTATGTAAAATAAGACTTTTTAAAATAAAAAAAAAATTACCTTGTCTCAAGAAAAAAACTGCTGCTTATTGACTTTTTAGGCTATTTCAGGCTTACGAAAACTAAAAAGTCAGCTAACATGGATTGGTCTCCTGTAACATGCCAAGTGTTT